TTTGTTTGGTACTACAGTATTCAAAAAATTAAGATTTTAACTCCAAGTAGTTTAACGCTAAAAGAACTAGAGTTTTACTGAGTATTCGAGCTCAACGCAAGAGATCCTCTCACATTCTGGTTTTCTTATCAGGTGATGCAAGTTCAAAAAAATTTGAATTGAATTGTTTCTTTGTGAAATTTACTGAGAAAAAAATATATGCGCCGAATAAGCGCAGTTGACGTGCGTAATCATTTCTCAAAAATCAGATTTCCGGTTAAAATACTTCGGCCTTGCTGTTTGAATTTTGCGCTGGTATAGTGACTGATCAAATCTCTGCAGTCGGTAACCATATATGTCGTCTGGCATACCTATATTATTACCTCCTTAAAAGAGTTTAGCTACGCGTAGTCGCCCCTCCACAATGCTTAGGCCCCGCCTGCTGAGGCTAAGTGCTCTGTGATTGGAGGAATTGACCGATGATTAAATAAACAATATCTCGTTAACTATCCATCGAATCCAAATTTTGTAAAAAGCTTTTTGAGATGAACTTTTGATGAGCTTAATCTCGTGGTATAGTTTTGGCTTAAAATCAGATCACCCTGTATATGAGAATATAAGTATAGTATTACATGTGCGCGCGCAGACCTACACATAATATATATACAAACTTACATGCTTATATATATCCAATATCAGTGAGACAAAAGTAGGGGATTACTGGGCAAAAGTTATGCCAAGTCAGGCTAAGCTACGCTCAAGTCAGCGCCGTATTACGAACCCACCTGCGGCCAAGCTTGGTTGCTTGATTTTGATCATGCGTTTGAGCTGGGCTGCCCACTTTCAATTTCTACTCGAGAAACTGTATAGACGGTGCATGCGCAGTAATATGTCTTATTATGATGAGAGAAAGAAATCCCTCGTTCGACAAAAGTAATTATTTTACCAGCTTTACATAAAAATATGACCATCTACAATTGTTCAACATAAACAACAATTGATTTGCTAACGATTGATACCAATTTTGTTAGTATAGACACACTACAAAGGGTGGAGGACGTACTTTTTATGTCTCTTGGACGACGGCATCAAATTTATTCTTTTGCAAAAGTAATTGATCCAACAGGTTTTTCCAAAGTGGGTGCAAACGTTGTTAATTATTCCACAGTTCTGGGTATTTTTTTCGAGTCAAAATTAGCAAGTTGTCCGCGGAGTTCGCAGAGCTGTGGGATATGTTAAAAATAGAGTTGGCAAGCCTGTAAGTGGTACCGTGGACTCGTGGACGTGGAGACAATGAAAAGAGATACCAAATCGAGTGACTAGTCTGTCTCTCTCTGGTCGCTGCTGATTGGCTGCGGAAATTTCATATGTATAGGCATAAAAACAGTACACAATCATATATTATACATATTAGTATGTTCTGTATGTATACATGCAGCTGACAGCTGAGTCAAGGTCGAAATATTTATATTTTTTAACATTGTACTTTTAATTGTTTTTTATTATTTAGTATAGTGAGTACAGCGATACGTGTCGTTAAAAGAATTGATTTATTTAATTGTGCAAGACTATATATAGATGAGCGCTTACAAGACGAGGCCAATAAAACTGGAGATAAAAAGTATACGGTAGGTGACCAGCGCTGACAACGCTAGCTGTTGGCAGTCAATTTGAAACGTGGTGTCGCAAAAGCGAGTACGCCTATGCAATACTATGCATAGCCACGTTAAATAGACTGTTGCCTTTTTAAGTTTGGTAACAAATTAGATATTTATTACCAAACTTAATATCATATCTGTCTCTCTCCCACCTTTGGCAATGTGCTAGAGATACAGATATACACGTTTGATTTTGTGTCTCCTTCTACTTGTGCTTCTGCGCCGTACATAAGAAAACGAGCAGACTTTTTTTTCTTGTGTGCCTATGATGCCCCCATAATAGACCAAGAGGCCAAGAGCTGAGGCTTGAGAGTGGTCAAAATTTTGACCCGCCGCCACTCGCACCAGAATTGAGTAACTGCGTGATTCGTGGAGATCTGAAATATTTTGGTCATATTATATTCTGTTACGGAGTTAGGCTGCAGTGACATGGAGCGCAATAGAGTGAACAGGATAGGAATTTCTTCATAAGCGGCTGTGTTAAGTCTATTGCGCCGCGCAATAGGTCTATTCTACAGCGCAATAGACTTAACAGTCGCTTGTAGGGACAATTCTATCCTGCACACTCTATTGCGCTTCATGTGACCACAACCTTATGTGGTAATTATAACAGTGCCATATAATATTTTTTATCAACCAGCCGCAAGTTACACCAATGGATAGAAAATGAACAGTTGTCAACTAAAATTGCTACTTGCTACAAAACTAAAATGTATCTTGTACCCGAAAATCGACTTCTAAAAATATAGAAATTCTATTCTTATTTACAATGTTATCTACAGTGTCTCATCTATCAGCTTAGATGATGAAATGAGCATTATAGATACGATCGAGTAGGGGGTCTATTTTTTTGAAGGTCGATGTTCGGGTACAAAACGCATTTCAATCTTGCCACAAATTGCATTCTCTTGCACCAACTTTTTATTGTCTATCTGTTAATCTAAGTTGCAGCTGGTTTATAAAAATACCATATGGCACTTCTTAAACTCTAACAAAACTCTTTGTTAGAATAAAATATCACAAAAATATTTTGGATCTTAACAAATCATGACGGTCCTTAAAGCTGATGCATGTGACGGTTGGTAAAAATTTTGATCACCCTTAGGCCTCAGCTCTTGGTCTACAAGGCAGGATGCGTTAGTGTCGGGGGACAACCGGGAACTCACTCATAGATGCCGACCCAATCAAAAACTTCAATGCTGAATCAATGCTGAATCAACGTTGATTTTAGCAATAAATCAACGCTGAACCAACGTTGAAGTTTTTTTTGAACTATTACCTTCCAAGCAGCACGTCAAAATGACTGTTTATCAGTATCTAATATATTACTTATTTTTGATGCAAAAATACTGAAAAACACGTCCAAACTACAATTAATTATCTATCTCCTAATAATCATCAAAATCTCCTAGCAGATCTGTATAGTGGTCAGCTCTGAGGTAAGCGTTTTGCTTCCAAATCCAAAGTTTTTGGGTTCAATGCACTTCTTCCAGCTTTTTTTTACTTCTGTATTTTTTAATAAAGGAAAAAATTTTTTTAAATTATTTTTGTGTTAAATATTTCTTAAATTATACATGTGTTGAATATCTTATATTTATTTTCTATCGAAAAGAAACGAAAACTGTTCATAGCATGTTTTAACACAAGTTAATGTATATTGCAAAGCTATTTAAGACTTTTAAATATACACATGAGTGCGCAAAAAATAATTTCATAGTAGAAAATTCTAGTAAATTTAATTCATCAAATGGTTTTTCCTAAATAAATATCGTTTTTATTTATTTTCTACACGAGTTATTTTGTTTTTAATAGCTAAGTTAGGTGCATTTTGCATAGGATTCATTTAAAACAAACAATATAAACTGTCTTTTCATTAACACTGCAAATCGTACCTAAAAATCCCATTCCGAAGGAGGAAACTGCCACCTTCTCGTTGGTTTCCATCGAATAATCTTAGTATGATGGGAAAATAATTTATTAAACAGTTTTGTCTCATATTTTTAGTGGTTGTACTGAGATACTGCTTTTAACTTATATTGACATATTAACAAAAAGCAGAACATTTTTTTACGCTCTATTAAAAAAAAGTGGTAAAAAAAAAAGAAAAAAAAAAGCTGGATGAAGCGCATTAAACTCAAGAACTTTGGGTTTGAAAGCAAAAGTTTTACCTCAGAGTCAACCACTTTACAGATCTGTCAGGAGATTTTGTGGAATTTGCTTAGGTGCCCCTGCATAAGCTTTTGAACTGCATATTGAGGAAAACTAATGTACAACTTTTGTTTATAGTTTCATTATCAATATTGTATCAATTAATTGTAGTTTGGACGTGTTTTTTTAGTGTTTCCGTATCAAAAATAAGTAATATATAGGCTACTGATAAACAGGCATTTTGCCGTATTGTTCGGAAGGTTAATGGTTATCAGAATCTATGGATCTAAGTATGGGTATAAAAAAGTTACCCAGTTGTCCTTACAGTGGGTCAAGGGACAGTGCGGCGGATAGCCACCATTTATAGCACATGTCAATGGCGGTCAATTTGAAATGGTAAATATTTCCCATCACACCACGTACTCCACAATGCGATTCTACAATCGCGCTTTCCCCGCATCGCGCAAGTGCGTAGAGGCAGCGCAATTATAGAAGAGGCCTTGAAGGTACTGAGCTGTATCTACATCTATGTACACTGGGGAGCTATTCACATAGAGATTTTTTGCTCATTTTATTGTGAACGTTCATGTTGAAAAGGGGGTTCCAATGTTCCGCTAAACTCAAATTGAGTGAAGAGACTGAACAGACCTATACTGTGTTCTCTTTCAGTCAACATAGTTGCGACCATAGGCTTTGTTGTCTGATGGAAAAAGAGGTATAGGTCTGTTCAGTCTGTTCACTTACTTTGAGTTTAGCGGAACAGTAGAACCCCCTTTTCAATATGAACGTTCACAATGAAATAAGCAAAAAATGTCTATGTGAATAGCTCATAGAAAATAGTGGGAGGTGCTGAAAATAGCGGAGCCAATCAGCACCGTGAGACCCTATCCGCCGCACTGTCCGACTGTCCCTCGACCAACTGTAGTTGTCCTTGTCCCCCGACACTAACGCTGCCTGCCTTACGGGAGGCATAACTAAAATATCAAGAGAAAATGCTGCGGTCGCGAAAACGGCCGATCTGGCCTTCTATGCAAGAAAAGTATATTGTGTATTCTCTGGTTTTTGAACAGTTAATGGCCCGTAACCGATAACAGTTAATGAGCTCCTACGGATGATCGTATTTTAAGTTTTCGAGATTCGAGAGTTGATAGGCTGCTGTGTAGTCATGTACCGTTGTTAAGTGTACGTACAATAAAATATACCGGTCTGCAAGTTTTATAGGATATAATCATGTGTAAAGGAATGTTATGATTATCTATTTTCGTAACTCCTGTCAACTTTTGCAGAGTATATTAAAAACTTTTTTTTTGATCACATACTAACATTTCTGATTTATCAGGAAGATTTTAATATTGTCTATTACGATAACAGAGTTTTGATGAGTGTGTCTACTTTTAAATGTATTGAGCAGTTAAACTGTGAATATGTTGGCGATCAATTTTGTAGTTTAATTGTGGTTATAATCCATAAGGTTCGAGTCCTTCAATGTTTTAAAAAATTTTTAAGTGGTAACTAATAATTATATTGTATTAACAATAGAGGAATTTCCAAGAGTCTATTGCTACTCTGGCCAAATATTGTTTTTATACTAACATGAATAAACAGCTGCTTCCAATATGGTCATGTGTTTGTTTTACACCTTTATTGAATTGTGTGTTAATAGCAAATACATACTTAATGAATATCATTTTGATAACAAAAAACAATTTCTCTAAGTTGAACATTCAATAGCAATAATTAATCTAAACAAATTTATGCATTCTTAGTTTTTGATTCCATTACACAAGTAGTTTTATCTGTCTTTGACAAACGTAAATTGTATGAATCTATTTTTTAAAATCTTAAATGAAAAGGAACATATAATTAGTAAATACATTCTGTATATTATTGTATAGAAATATTCACATAAAAATTTTTTCTAATGACCTTCAAAATTATACATCATTCTGAAATATAAGCATGGTTGTTTAACAGTTGAAGGTTTTCCACTATTTATCTTCCAGTATTAATTTATATCATTGACATTTTTCTGCCAGTTTTGAAGCTTCCAAGGCCAAAACCATTTTAGTAAATAACTTACGATAGGTGATAATAACCCATCAAAGAAATAACATCAAAACCTGAGAATAGAATTTTACAACTGTTACTAGTAATCGTCAGTTCATTTTCGTTTCCCCGTAGAGTACTTAGTATGTCTAAAGTGAGAAAAAATAATCAAATTTCATAAATAAACATTATTTACTGTTATAAATTATAACAAAAAAATTTATGGCTTACAGTATCTATTATCCATGAAGCTGAAACTAGCTGACTATTTCTAGCAGCGATATCGTCTAACAAAAATTCTACCTCAAATGTAGAAAATCCAAGGAACGAGTTATTAAAGAGAATGATGTAACATCATTTACAGTATTAAATGGCAGTCTCACAAATTATGCCTGTATACATTATAAATTTGTAATGAAAAAAATATTAATTAAACTGATTTTCATTTTCTGCTGACACCATAATTTGACAAGATTAAATGAAAAACAAATTTCGATGATTCATGTGTTTTTTTTTTTCTTTTCTTTTTTTTTCTCAATTAAAATAGGTTGATTTGTAACGTCAGCTGTTGTTGCTTTCACAAAAACTGCTATGTTTTCACCCTCCAATCGATATTTTTTAATTTAAATGATTAGAATTTTTAAATTATTTTTTTTAAATTATATTAGGCCCAAACTAATTGGAAACTCTTAGGCCTAACAATCATTTATTAAAAACCTATGTTAATTTAAATGCATTTTTTTAAAAATTTTGATAGATCGTTACGGTAATAACAGACTTGTTATTACCGTGACGGTACCTTTTTTGCGATTGTGAAGCTCTAAGATAAAATTTTTCAACGAAATTCCGTTGGTCACATCTGAATTCTATACCCCTTTGTACGCTACTGTCATTTCATAAATGATTTCAAATCCCTCTGAGATTAGGGGCAGTACGGTAATGACTGCTTATTTTACCGGGAAAAACGCGATGATACTACAGACAGTCACATAAAAATTTAGGGCTGCAAAAAAATCAACAGTGCTCTTGTACACTCCAAAATACAAAACGATGTATTCTAAGTGTCTGAAAATTAATCACTTCGCTAAATTAAATGGTTTGTGGTGCGCAATTCAAAAGTGTCAGTAATCTACACAAATAAAACGTCGCGTACTTGAAAACAAATTTTATTTCGGTTCTAAGTTATTAAATAAGGTACTAAACACCTCAAACTTTTTTGATAGTACATCGTTCAAAAAATTAAAAAAATTAACGTCCAGGCACCAGAAGCCACAAAAAATGAAATTTTTAAATGCTTTGCGATACAGTAATGCCATTTTGTCTTGTTTTTTCCACCTAACAGCCATGCAAAAAAAATTTTTAGTTGATCCCGGAAATGCATTTTGTGATAATTGACTTACACCGTTTCAAAAAAGGTCTGGCTCGAAATGATTCGATCCGTCGTTTTTAAACATGGGTTTCATGGGGTATCGTAATTTTTGTAAAATTACGTATATATTAAACTCAAATATCCAAGAGCTAGTACCAATACCCCTAACTTTAAAAAATTATTGATAATATAAAAAAATTTAATAAATGACTTAAATTAAAAAAAAATTTGATTTGTTAGTAGCAACGAGTTTTCTACTAGCCCATGTATCTTCTAAATTTAGCAAAATGAAGGGGCACTTAATCTAGTACAAAGGGTACTCAAGGTAGAATTTGTTGTTTTGAATGTATCGCTGCAGCAGTTGGTCTGCTACTTTCATCTTCATCATCTATTATTCACTGGTATGTAGTTTTGGAGCACCTCACGAGGATTCATAAAAGTTCGATTATTTATAGTCCTTATTTAAATACGCAATTGAGTTCTGCAAAGTAAAAAAAAAAAAATTTAATTAAAAAAATGGACTAACAGAATATACTAGATCACAGTCTGTTCACTTACTTTGAGTTTAGCGGAACAGTAGAACCCCCTTTTCAATATGAACGTTCACAATGAAATAAGCAAAAAATGTCTATGTGAATAGCTCATAGAANTACTTAGGACCTTTTCCCAATGAAAACAGTTTTTGAAAAAATCTACATTCACCAGGAATTGAACCCACGATCGGTAGAACTGCGTTGTATTAGTAACAAGCACGCTTACCACTGAGCCAACGCTGCTTCTTATTTTATTTTATTTTATTTTTGTTACCCGAGACGAATTACTTTGATACTTGATAAAACGGTGTTCGTCGCTATAATGACTGAATACCCTCTAAACTGGCAAGACCTATCTCCTGAGACACCCGGCTCGGAATCCGCTTTCGCATTAATACTTCGAGCCAGGGCCATGAAGTGTTGACCATCGACGTAGCCTTCCATCGGAGTGTCGTTACGGTCGTGATGTTGCCTTCTCTTTATTCCGTCTGGCTGTCTGCTGTTTTGCGGAAACATCGATTTTCGTTGCTTCCCCTTGCTAATGGCTTGGGTAAATCAGCACAGCTTGGGTCAGCAATGGTAATCTAGCTATCATCCTTTTAAGCTCTATCTGCGTATAGTAGGCACCTTACTTTTGGCCCCTTCTAGTACCTTTCTAAATGCTGGGCAGCTGCCGCTACCTGCTCCGTGTTTGGCACTGTCTGTTCCGCAAGCGAAACATTGGGCCTCCTCCTTGTAATTTTCTTACACTGACTGCAGCTGCCATATCGAAAGCATAGCTTCAAGCGGTCCTCCTTGTTGCAGTTTCGGGCTATGTGTCCATACCCCAGACACTGGTAGCATCTGCGGACTTCAACCCGTCTCCTTACTTGGCAGATTGTGAAGCCTATTATATTAACAGCCTCTTAGTTTCTTCTGTATATCTGGTATCAGTCTCTCCAGTATTCACCAAAGGTACCGTCTGCCCTCTTTTATTCGCTCCTAGCAGCATCACTATTCTCATCTGTGGTGAGCAACCAGGGATTCTACTTAATACAAGTTCAACGTCAGCCTTCTCCGTAATCGGATTCAGATCCTGGATTTCGAGCGTTACCCTTTTCTCCTCTATTTTAACGGATCCTAGCCCTTCAACGGCGTTAGCTATACTGCTAACCAGAGCCTCTCTATCTTTTATTCCTTTAACATTAAGAAAAAGGTCATCCTTTTTAGTTGTAGTAAACTCCTGGCTGTTTTGGGGCGGGTTTTTCGTAGAATTTTTCTTCAGAGCGATCCCAGGGTTTTTTTCCTTGCCCCACAGATCTTTGGGCCTGGGTGGATGCGAAACAGTGTTAGGGGTATTAGTAAGGGTTAGCGGATCCGATGCCAGGCAGAGATCGCCGACTTTACCGGTAAGGAACGGCCCCTGAAACAAGAAGCTTCTCCGGGGATGCTAATTAGCCTGAATCCGATGCTTCAACAGAGAGCGCTGGCTTAACTGGTGAGGAGTGGATGTCCTGTAATACAGAGTTTTCTCCGAGAAAAGGCTACACAGTGGCGATTGGACCCGATGAACCATTGATACAGAGAGTTCGAACTTAACTAACAAGGTGTTACACCGAAGATATTCCCACTGAATCCATGGTAAAATAAGTCTGATATTAATTAAGGGTAATATTAATCTAACATTAATTGGTCAATGGGCGTGGCAATGAAACCCCAAACATAAGTGGTGAGTGGGTGGTCCTAGCAACCAGGCCAATCGACTGTCGCAGTAACCTGATAAAAAAAATTATTTGTAATTCTATTCTCATGGGGCAGCTCACGGAACTGATACTTATAACAAGATATTGGAGTATTTTATTTTAAAAAAATCGTTCAAGAGAAAACATATTAGCAGAAGAATAAGAAAATAAGGGTCATGGGGCTTATCAGATAAACGGAACGTATCGGCTATACGTATAAATATAGCACATCAGATGAACTGACTAACCTTGCCTAGTTAGTATGGAATTAATGTCGACTATGTGACGAAGAAAGTGTAGTAATCACTCCAAAATTATTTGAATTAGATAAAGTGTATCGGTATCGTGTTAGAAGCACTAATTCCACAAATGACCATATGACAATAGAATTGTAGTTAATTAAAACAGAACCGTTCATATAAGATCCCTTGCTTTCATGCCGGAAAATTTGGTACTGAACTTTGGCATTAGCGGCGCCATTTGGGATGTTCTCGTAGTTAATACATGGGAGTCCCGAGTTCTGTAGAGTGCCAGTGAAAGCTTTGGCAGATGATTAAACTTAAACTAACGTACACTCAATACTGGACGCATAAAGTTACGAAAACTGAATAAATTTTCGTTAGTAACGAGTCGATAAAAAGGCAGGTTATGTTGTCAGAATTCTAGTATGAAAGTAAGCTATGAAATTTTTTAAAGTGTGATATTTAAATGAGTTTTAAATGTTATAGTTCAGTTACACATCATACAGCTTTATTACGAATATGATGTCTATTCCATTGTTGAAAATTTTTTTTTTTTCTAT